AAATTTAGCAACTGATGAAAGTGCCTGTGCTGTGACAGGTCCATTCGTCTGATCCGAACGGATTACGTCCAGAAACGGGCTCAGGAATGTATTCGGATTCATATCCGTCAGATCGTTCACCTCAAAATGCGATCATTTATCACTGCTCATCATAGGTACCTCTGAGCTGGGCATTATACAATGATGACCCGCAAATTTAAATTCAGCTTCCCGATACCCGCGGGTAACGCGTACAGCCCCGTGAAAGTTCTTCACGGGTAAGTTAATATCTCGGAAACCACTGAATCTAGTAGGCTGAAATTTTAAGATAATGACCCCTTGCCCACTGGTAAGCCTCGAGTTATTCCACAGTAACACTTTTTACTTTATATAATCCCCTTTACATGCTAAAAGGCGAGGAAGGGGTGAAAAAAACGGCAAAAAACACACAGTAATTCGAAACATTAACTTTAGTTAAGAAGTGGTGACAATCAACACAAACCAATTGTATCTAGAAAACGGCAGCGCTTCGATAAATGCTTTCTCAGAAGAACTGCTGAACTAATAATTCTTACAAATGACAAAAAACTAGGATTTTCAGCAGTATGCTCTCCACGACGCGATACAGCATTAGTCATAGCAAATGGAAAAGATACAGCTGTAAAATCAGACCATGAATTAATAGCTGCTCCAGTGCTCAAAATAATGATAAGGATATTGATTGTTGTTAATCCAACTTGATTTTACTTAATAAGAAAGATGATTTTGGTTATATCAGAAAATGATTTTAATCAAAAATTAAGAAAAAAAGAAAATGATTTTAATTAAAACTGTGACTGTTCCTCTACGCCATACAAATGCTGTGAATGCGTAGCAATCCTGAGAAATCGTCAGGACAAAAAATCTTCTACTTTACAAAAAAAAACATTGGACTTTTGTCATCCCAAAAACAAATACCGCCAAAAACTTCTCAGCTAAATACACCTGTTGGAAAGACTTATACTCTTTCGCATACCTTCGTTTAGCACGCAAAAAGCGGTGTTTTCTTTGTCAGTTTCAAGATGTTTTGAAGGCAGACATAGCAGGTCACGATGCAGTTCGATGTCCAAACGAAACGGAGAAGCAAAAAATCTGGAGTTTAGCGAAGATGTTCACTGTTCAAGTGCAACGCAAAATGCCTCAAATTGTTTTGGAAATTTTTGAAAAATGTGAACTATGCATGTTTGTTCAGCACTGTAGGCCAGCCGATGAAAGGGACACAGTCGAATATTGTCAGTTGTGGGAAAGCAGTGAGTGCTAATTCAGATACCCAGATAAGCGAGCCTGTATGCGCATTAGCTGTTGTTCGTTCTGTGTTTCATCCCTAAACTGTAAACACAGACGGCAGAGTCGGTGCGGATTAAACCCAACTTTGAGGTGTGGTATTGATTCAAGAGAGCCGACAATTGGTTCGAATCAGCTACAGCCGACGTTCTGTCTCCACTTTCTGAACACCGATTCTGTTGGTAATTCCGGAACAAATTTGGAAGTTCAGGTCCTAAGCATACGGCACAGATCTTTGACGCGAAGGACGGTATTTTGGGAAAAAAGCTGGTTATCTGAAGTTTCCTTTGGATGTTTCCTGTCCATGTGCAGTACAAGAATGCAAGTTGAGCCCCAAGTCATGAAGGGTTCAACAGCACGTCCGGCAGAATCTTTCGAAGAGATATTTGGTAAATTGGAAAACACAAAAAGTGAAAAGCCGAAGTTCGACAATGATGAGCCCTGTTCACATGCAACGCAAATGCTTCAAATTCAGCTCCTAAGCACGACTCGTTTTCACCCAAGGGCATAAATCTTTGGCGCGGAAGACGGTACATTGAAAAATAAAAAAGCCCAATAATTTGAAGTCTTTTTGTTGTTTTCCCGATCCAAATGATAATTTAAATTTATAAAAAAGCAGGCAACAGTTGATAAAAACCTTAAAGGTGTTACGCTGAAAAGAAACAAAAGAAAAAAAAAAATAAGAATTAAAGATAATTTTCCATTCATAATTAATGGGCATGGCATTTTCAGCATGACGATGCATAAAAACCCTAAAGATATTCGTCTGTTCAAAAACAAATATTAGCGAAGAACTAAACTCATCGGCACTCAATCAATCGCGTTTCTTTCTGCAAGTGAGTGAGAAGAACATAGCCATTTATGGATTGTGTTCAAATTCTGCTCAATTCAGACAAACAAGAAGATAAAGGAAAACAAAACAAAAGAAAAAAAAAACTTGAAAAATTCATAAATAAACTCAAGAAATTCATAAATCAATCAATTCTTTTAAGCACTGCCCTTTGGTCGCTGCGAAAAGGAATGGCGCTAGCATTATACGATCAGTGATAATGCAAATTTGCATAATCATGGCTTCACCGGCTGCTGTTTGTTACAGAGGGGCGAA